TCTTCGGCGTCACTCCAGCTCTTCCAGTCTTCTTCAACTTTTTCTTTTTTTTTTGGTTGCAAAATTTTCTCGTATTGGGTCAAAACTATTGATATGGGCTGAGCAAATTCTTTGGATCCAAATTGATTGGGCTAAGTACTGGTCAGCCCAAGCAAGACGAGTGTAATACTCAAAGCCCAATAAAGGTAACCTTGATCTTTGCTCAATCCTAGCTTAAAGCAAGAAACAACCTTATAGTAGTTGTATTTGAAGTAGATAGCGTGAAGTCTTGGTATGATATCTGTATAGATAGTGTATCGATATCTGTAAAGTATGTGGACATATAACTAACAAGAAAGATGCTTCATCCAAACCCTAGTGATCACGCAGGGTTGAGATACAGCCAAAGAAAAACCGAAAACATATGCATCAGGCTGATCATGCATGGCAAAAGGCCCAAGTAATTCAGTTTTCGATGGTCATCTACTTGTTACTTTAAAGAACCATATATATATATATATATATATATATATATATATATATATATATATATATATATATATATATATATATATATATATATATATATATATATATATATATATATATATATATATATATATATATATATATATATATATATATATATATATATATATATATATATATATATATATATATATATATATATATATATATATATATATATATTAGCTGGTGTTTATATATGCAATGCAAGTCAATTACAGAGGACTGACACTGAGTATGCTTCACGTTTGTCCCTTAAAACAAGCAGCCAACCATGCCGTGTTATAAGATACAAACTTATAAGATATAGAAACCAACTTATTAGACAAACTTCTTAACACCGACTGATGCGACAATTTCTTATTTATTTTGAATAAATAAAATTTAAAACGGGCTTAAATGGAAAACGAATAAAACATTTCTGATAGTTAATGTAATAAGTTGACTTGTATAGCATTAATCTTTCAACCTGTTACAACAAACTTCAACGCCAATCCAATTGTGAACTGTGCATGCCAAGTTGCATATATTTCGATAAAAACGTTCTTAATTGTAATTAATATTTCAGTTATTTGGTTGAGTTAAGTAGCAGGGGCAGTAAACGATATGGGATTTCATTCATTAACAGAGAAACATCTTTCTCTTTGAGAGATATCATATTCTATGCATAGCTGCAGCACCATATTTCTCTCTCTCTAACAACTTGTTATACCTTTTCTAGCTAATAACTATAGATATCATATTCTATCCGACCAAAAAAAAACTCTATGCATAATAATGTGGATAATCTCGTATATGTGTACGTATATATAGGATAATATTATATTACCTGACTGCAAATCGGAACTATTAATCAAATTCGATTGTTGTCTAAATGTGTGGTCCAGATTCACAATCTAACATTTTTCTGCAAATTAGATATTGCCATTTTATAAAATGAAAAAAAAAAGGCTTCACTTTGCATATATTTTCGACCACCTATGCCACTAAATAAACCTGGTAATTCTTGATTCCATTTCCCCATGTGAATTCCAAAAGGAGCAGGTTGTTAATGGAATTGAATTAGCTAGAAAGCAAAAATGGTTATTATTATTTCGAGTCTAAAATCCCAATGTACATTACCATATATGGTGGAAACTAGACATATCCGTACGTACATACATACATACATACATGCCCCTGGTGACCAAGACAAGACAAACATTTTATAAGTAGTAGGAACCAAGCAGAGGAGCTGCTGAAGAAACTCAAAAGGCATGGAGCCAGTGAAGGGTCCAAGCCTCTGATCTCGTAGCAGAGAAAGCTAAGTCCCTACATAAAAATAGAGACCTAAATATACTCAGTGAAAGAGACAAATTGATTTCTGCAGGCCCATTGCAACGTGCCTACTTCTTCTGTTCTGAGCCACTGAGTAAGTTTTTTTTTTCTTTTAAAATTTTGGCCATCTCAGACAAACCCAATAAGAATCTGCTACAAAATTTTAAAACCTTTGTTTTTCTGGGCTCAGAAATCCGCAACCAATAAGGAGGTGGAGGAATTTTGAGACCTTTCTTAGACTCTGAGATACTTCTGTACAAGCTTTTCTGGCATAAATGGAGATGGTGTGGCTTCTTCTGTGCAGCTTTGCTTTGTTGTTAAAGATGAGCTTTGTCTGCAACTCTGAGGCTGGCAGTGTCACATATGATGCAAGGTCTTTGATTATAGATGGCCAACACAAAATTCTGTTTTCTGGTTCCATTCATTATCCCAGAAGCACTCCCGAGGTACCCTTATTGCATTACATAATAATTTATATTCTTGTTCTTGATAATTGTTTGCTTGATTGGTTTTCATCTCCATTTTTATTTGAATATCCAAATTCTGGGTTTTGCTTTGTGAAACAAAATCATTCATTTCTCATTGTTTTGGGGTAGGTGAGTGCAGCAGCAGAGCTGGATTCTCTGCTGCCTTTTATTTTTCTACATTTTCTCATGTTCTTTTTTTTATTATTATTATAAAAAATTTAAGCTCATTTAAAGATATGCAAAGGAATGAAAAAGCTTCTTAAAGTCTAGAATCCATAATGCGAAAAGAGCCAAACTATGACTTATAATAATGGTCTTTCTTGCTTTAGTTGAGAAAATAAGAGTTTTCTTCCCTTTAGTTGAGGAAGTGAAAGGAAGAATAAGAAATAAAAAACCGCCACAAAACCCCAAGAAAAACAGGGGGAAGAAAAAGACAAGGGTTGTCTTCCAAGAAAGATATTTTCTTGCGGTGAAAATTGCAGCTAGTTTCTGCATGATTTGTGGAAAATGTGTGTAAATGATAAACATTCACAAATTACTAAAATTCATATTTTTTGCCAACAAGGTCTAGCTTAGTTGGAAAATGGTCTTGATTTGCAGATCAGTGATCTCAGATTCGAACTCTCATGACACTTTGATAGTGTATGTAAAAAACCCCCTCATATTTAATATTTAGTTTAGACTACCATTTGTATTAATATATCCCTATATATATATAGTTGTACATTATAATTAATGACGTGGCATATGCTTATAGTTAATGACGCCTTTATTAAATTCACATTAGTTATAAATTAGTATCCATTGCATCATGCTAGTCTATGTGTCTTAAATTTCTGTAAGTGGCAATGTAATAAAAACTTATCTAAAGTCCACTAAAAACTCATATCTAAATATTTTTTAATCCAAATGTAAATTTTATTTACCAGCACTCCAATTCGTCACGAAAGCATGCAAGTTAACCACGGTTTTATACCACTTTTTCTTTTTCTAAAGAAATTTGATTCAGCCCATTTGTAAGTTGTAACCATTTTTCTAACCCATATAATTTAAGGTAACATTTTCTAAAACTATAGGTTCAAAATTAATTGTATATATTTTCCAATTTTCATGTCATTTTCAGATGTGGCCATCTTTGATAGCCAAAGCCAAAGAAGGAGGAATAGACGTGATACAAACGTACGTGTTTTGGAACCTTCATGAACCCCAACAAGGAAAGGTGAGAGAAAATATTCAATTAAGTCTCTAGTCTATAAATTTTCAATGAATTCATGTCATTTTCAGACTCTAATTAATGCAATAATACTTCTGGGTAATCTTTGTTTTGCAGTTTGATTTCAGTGGAAGACAGGATATAATAAGCTTCATTACGGAAGTCCAAAAACAAGGCCTATATGTCTGCCTTAGAATTGGACCCTTCATTGAGAGTGAATGGTCGTATGGGTAAGATTCTCTAAATGCATTATGAAAATTGACCGTTTGATAATATAACATTGTTATATAACTAAGACTATAGTGATGGTGATGCAGGGGTCTGCCAATTTGGTTACGGGACATTCCCGGCATTGTTTTCCGATCTGATAACGAACCATTCAAGGTAAAAAAAAACTTAAATTGTTGATGGGGTTAACATCTTTGTTATCTCTTTAATCAAAATTTTGTAACACCCTTATAAATTTGTTAATGGCAGACTGAAATGGAAAAGTTCACAACGAAAATGGTCACTATGATGAAAGCAGAGAATTTGTATGCTTCACAAGGTGGACCAATTATATTGTCACAGGTTAAGTCCATAGCAGAAACTAATAAATGGTTTTTTGATCATCTGCACTATTTATTTATACATATATAAAATAAATAAATAAACATTAAAACGTGTATTGTATAAATGTACGTAGATTGAGAACGAGTACAAGATGGTAGAACCAGCTTTTCATGAAAGAGGACCCCCTTATGTTCGTTGGGCTGCAGCCATGGCAGTGGGGCAGCAAACTGGTGTGCCCTGGGTTATGTGTAAACAGGATGATGCTCCAGAACCTGTGGTTAGTTTTCTTTCCTTTGAATAGTAGGGTCAGTAGCCTTTCTAAACGGGCACTCATGAAATTTGTTAGACAATTTGACATGTTATGTCATCGTATTCTATTGTCGATTCGAACCATGAACTCGGTTTTATTCTCATTCTTTGACAAGTTGAATCCTGCAATATGCAGATCAACTCATGCAATGGGATGAATTGTGGAGAAACTTTTGCTGGTCCTAATTCCCCTAATAAGCCATCACTTTGGACAGAGAACTGGACAAGCCAGTATGTCTTCATTGTTCCTGATATGCCTGTCTTTATCATAATATATGACTAAAAATTTATTTTTCCTTTCTTTCTGAACTTATGCCAAAATTTTGTTTTTGATTTTGAAGATACCAAGTGTACGGTGATGAACCATACATAAGATCAGCTGAAGAAATTGCATATCAGGTTGCGCTGTTTATTGCAAAGAACAGAGGAAGCTATGTTAATTACTATATGGTATATTCATCTTGTTTCTGGCATATAGCATATGCATCAAATCCGCATCAAACTAATAAAATAAAATTGAACCCGACATGATATTTTCACTTACAATACGGTTTTGATCCAGTATCATGGAGGAACCAATTTCGGAAGAACAGCTTCTGCATTTGTGGTGACTAGTTATTATGATGAAGCTCCTCTTGATGAGTACGGTAGGATTTTCTACAATCTTTTTCCTTGGAGCATATTTGCCTCTTCTTGTATTTGGTATTTGAAACTGTTTAGCTGATGAATTCTACAGGTTCAATAAGGCAACCAAAATGGGGTCATCTTAAGGAATTGCATGCTGCAGTGAAGCTAGCCTCCAGTGCTCTACTTTCTGGAGACCAAACTAGTATCTCTTTGGGCCAACTACAAGATGTAAGAGCATTGATGAGAACTGATTTTCTTTGCAGTGATTAGTTTCTTTGGAGCAAGTACATAACTAATTAAGTAAAATAATACATACCGGTTTCGATGTTTGTCCACCAGGCTTATGTCTTCAAAGTACAATCAGGAGAATGTGCTGCTTTCTTGGTGAACAAGGGACCTAAACATGCCACTGTCCTCTTTCAAGAATCTTCATATCAATTGTCACCAAAGTCAATCAGTATCCTACCAGACTGCAAAAAAGTAGCCTTCAACACTGCAAAGGTAATGCTCCTTATCATTTCATGTCATGTTTGAGTTCAACATATATAAAATCAAAGCATATTATAGACACACCTTATCATTCATGAAACTCCACACAGCAGCAGCAATTAGCTCAGATATTTCATATGTATTTTTCGGGTACTGAAATGGCTCCTTCAACAGGTAAGTGCACAACATGCTACACGATCTTGGCAGGTAGCTCAAAAGTTTGATTCAGCTGAAAACTGGGAAGAGTACAAAGAAGCTATTCCAAATTACGAGATGACCACATTGAGCGCAAACGCATTACCGGAGCAAATAAGTATAACGAAAGATGAATCTGATTACCTTTGGTACACTTTCAGGTAAATCATTAACTAGAAATGAGTTGGCTGAATTTGACCGAACCAGGCAATTTACTGATGTCCTTGCAATTCATTGTGTAAAATCAGCTTTCAGCATGATTCAGATGCTCAATCTACGTTAAGTGTAAAATCGCATGGACATGTCTTGCATACGTTTGTAAACGGAGTATTTACAGGTAAAATTGGTATCTCACTTATGTTTCCTCATTTATCACAAATTTCACATACTTATTGGGAAAGGCTCTGTTGTTCTTTAGGATCTGCACATGGAAGGCACAGGAATGAAAGTTTTTTCTTGGAGCAAACTGTTACTCTGAGCAAAGGGATGAATTATATCTCCTTGCTTAGTGCAATGGTCGGATTACCGGTAATTTTGATCTCAGTTCTTGTTCCATTATTTTCTCCATGAATTTTTTATGCAATGATCATGGCAAAGAAACACAGTGTAAAGTTACAATTATGTTCGTAATTTGTTATTGTTGTCTGCATGGAATTTTAAGTCAAATTTACTTCTTATGTGAAGGATAATGGAGCATATCTAGAGCGTAGAGTGGGCGGATTACATGAAGTGAGGGTTGACGATCAAGATTTCAGCAAAAGCTCATGGGGCTATCAGGTGATTTTCTTTTCAGCATATCTTATCTCTAAATGTAAAGCTGAATTTGCTTACCCTTAACAATGTCCCTTCCATAAATTTGTATTTTATTCGATGAAGGTTGGGCTGGATGGAGAGAAGTTACAAATCCATAGCGACAGTGGATCAAGTATAGTTCAATGGAGTAAGTTAGGAAGGTCTGGTCACCAACCACTATGGTACAAGGTAAGAGTAATTCTGGTTTACATAATTGTTCTTTGAATCTAGGTTCTGCAAAATGTGGCCAAAATAGAATTTTAATGAAATCAAATTATGCACAATTAACTGAGATATATATATCTAGATTTCGTTATATAGGTGTGCTCTAAGTTATTGTCTCTACTCTGCATAACTTCTTTAATTCTTGGCTTTTTGGCAGATTCTATTTGATGCACCAGCAGGACATGACTCTATTGCATTAAATCTTGGTTCCATGGGAAAGGGTGAAGCTTGGGTTAATGGCCAAAGCATTGGTCGATTTTGGGTCTCCTTCCAAACCCCGAAAGGCAAACCTTCACAGACATGGTATGCAGTTCATACCAACTTTTATGTATTTGTTGTTATTTCAGTACTTTGGGCACACAACATTACTTTACACCTTTCAATTTTCAGGTACCATGTACCTCGATCGTTCCTCAAGCCTACCGGGAACCTATTAGTTCTCCTGGAAGAAGAAAACGGCGACCCCCTTGGAATTTCACTGGACAAAGTTTCAGTAACACAAGTATGCGGGCATGTGTCCGAAACACATTTACCCCTAGTGAGCAAATGGTTGGGTCAGAAAACTCAGAATCAGAATAACACTAAAACGAAACTTGGTAGAAGGCCTAAAATTCAACTCAGTTGTCCTCCAAAGAAGAGCATCTCCAAAGTGTTATTCTCAAGCTTTGGCAACCCTTCCGGTGATTGTAAAACTTATGCCACTGGAAGCTGCCACTCATCTAATTCCAAAGCAATTGTAGAGCAGGTGAGCATCTCTTTTCCTATTTTTGCATAGTTTCAGTGCTTTATTTGGTTTCCAAAAACCCAAAAGAACTTCTTATCTTCTCCATGTTTACACGTTCTAATCATGGTTTAAATTTTCAGGCTTGTCTAGGGAAGAGGAGATGTTCCATCCCAGTATCATTACAAAAGTTTGGTGATCCATGCCCAAGCATCAGTAAAACTTTGTTGGTTGATGCACAATGCACATGATGCGAGTATAGTTTTGGATTGTGCTGTCATTATATTAAATTTGCAATAAATTTTGGTTGGTTGCTAAGCTTCTCATTCAATTATTTCTCTAATCATGTTGGCAATGATTCATTTCTACACCTGATACTATTTACTGATGGAAAAATACTACAGGAAATAATGAAAACTACGGAAAAAAAATTCCAAATAATTAAATGCACCTCCAAACAAGTTCATACATTAAACCAGCGCTAAGACAGACACTTGACTGTTTACCGAAAAAAAGATACACACTTGATTCATAAAATAATGTGAGTGTATCTACAACTTTTTGATTCAGATACAAATAATGTTTGAACAAGCATCAATTCCAATCTAAGTTATTCTCAACAATATGACCGCCTAGAAATATATGTTAGCAAGCAGTAATGATACAGAGGAAAGTGCAAGGTACACAAGAATGAGAAAGAGCGCATAAACTTTGAAAGAAACAGGTGACAAATTTCATATAATGCAATTTGGACCTCACCTTCCAATAAGCAGCTTATATTTCACTATTGTTCATCTTCCTGAGTCCTGATTTGCGAGGAGGAGTTAAATTGTTTTGGAGAAAATCATCTTGCACATTGTCAGTGTGATGCAATCATCGAACTAGAAGGTTTTAACTCAAACATGCAGATTCCAATTGTCAAGTCATGTTAATAAACTATTGAAGTATCCACTGCAGTGTGCGATTTACGATCCTTCTTCTTTGCAGCTTTACTCTCTTTTGCATTCGAAAAATGTGCTGGTAGAAGGGCTTTTTGGGAAGGTAATTCAGCAATAAAAAGCAGAGTTTGAGCCCAGCCAGCATATTTCCCATATTTACTCACAAATGCCTCCGCCACACGGCCGCAGAGCTTAGGTGTCAGACGAGCACCTGCTAGCTCGGGTATGAGGTATCTAGTAGCAATCTTACTCAGCCCCATCAAGAAAAAAACCATCCACACATCAGCACTTTATGAATTTTCAAAACATAAAGACATAACTGTAAAATATTAGCAAAAGAACCCCTAAACTAAAAGAGTAATGTTGATCAACAACTCAACAAGCTATTAACTTGTCTAGCACCAAATGACATATATGCGATTTGTAAAGTAGAAACATCAAGCAGTAAAGAGCATACCTGCCACACGTGTGTATCAACAGGAATGGCATGGTGTTGATCAAGCGAGAAAAGAGCTATACATGCTGCCACCTTAGGACCAACTCCAGGCAATGTGGAAAGAGCTTCAATCCCCTCTTCGAGCTCCGTTTTACGCAGAGACAAAAGCCACTCTGCTCCTCCACCAGGTTTCAATTGCAAAGCTTTTACAGTGCCAGTTATGTACTTGGCCCTGCCCATACAAACCAACCCAACAAACCAAATCTCAATATTATGAGCTCACAATAACAGTAATGAGTAAGATTTAGAATCCAAATATAAATATATGCATATGAAGCAAACAATATAAATGCATGGAGTGGTGATTAAAAACAGACCTATAGCCAAAACCAGCCTCTCTGAACTCTTTCTCTGAGACCATTGACAAGCGCTCTAAAGATGGAAATTCATGGAACTCAAAACCTCCAACAGAACCCAAATGGTTCCCCAACGAAGATACAAAATCTACCATTTTGGTAATTCTCTGGATGTTGTTATTTGATGAACAAAGAAACTGAATCAAACACTCAACTGGGTCTTGCCTAAGCACTCGCGCACCGCCCAAATAGCTCGCGAGCTCAGCAAACCTTGAATCCGAGGCCGAGAAAACCTCCCAAATGCCAGCCAGAGAAATACCCACATTAAGAAGGTCGAGCAAGGCCAACTTGGCATTGGTTTCGGAGGTGGTGGTGTGGTGAAGGCAGTAGGAAACGTCGCCGTTTTCGAGGTGCCTGAGGGATACTAAGTGGGACCCAACAACGCCTGTGTACTGAAGAGGGCCGGTCTGTCTCCACCTGAAGGTTTGGCCGGTGGGGAAGGTGAGGGGCAAGGAGAGCTCGGATTGGGTGAGATTGAGTGGGACCCATTTGGTGGGTTTGAGGATGGTTTTGGGTCTTTTGGGGTTGCGGGTTTGTGGGGTTGGAGGGGTTGATGGAGGAGATTGAATGGGTCTTTGTCTCTTGCTCATGATTGAGAGGGGTCTCAGGTTCAGTGAGAGCATGAAAATGGCAGTTGGGAATGGGAATTTTAGGTCTGCAGAGAAGTTCCCTCCGAACCCAGAGAGAGGAGGGGGAGAGAGGGTAAAAAGGAAAATTTAGAATTGGGTACTGGGCTGTCTTCATCACTATGCATTGCATGGGCCAAGCCCATGAATAAAACACATGTTCAATCTTTGTAAATATGCTCAAATTATAGAAGAAATAATCCCTTCCTTTCCTTCGATAATGAAATTTGAAAGAAGGCGGCAATGCCAAGTCAGAGCAGTGAGGGCGCCTCCTCACACCTAAGTTTAAGTTATTCTTTTTGTAAGTTAGATTGGTTTAAAATAGTTCAGATTATCGCTTCTATCAAAAAGAAAAAGAATGCAATAGAAAAAGAAAGATAAAAATAAACAACTTATGTGTGTTCTATGCATATACATGCAATGGAATAATCTCACCACATTTGCAGCTCACAATCAAGGCTTCATTTCCAAACCCGTTATCTCATGTACATGTGAGTCTCCATGTCCTCTCTTGTGTCTACAAAGGCAAGGAAATAAAATAGTTATTTTATTTTATTTTTCCCTTTAACTAATCTTGATCGTTAAAACACAAAATTGGTAAATGTTGGAAGAAATGAGAATCAAAGATGACACTTTGAACCCAAATTGAGCACCAAAAGTGACTAAGAGAAATGATCGAGGCAACGTGAGTGAGGATCAATTGTTGAGGTGGAAATGGAACACACATATGCAACCACAACTAATACTCGCGCGCCTTACATAAGTGTGGTGATTTCGTTTAACCAACCAAATTACTAATTTGGTGCATTATGCACCACAAGCTCATAAAAGAAAGAAAAAACAAAAGATCCATGTGACTACTTTCATTTAACCAAGTTACTTATTTATTTAGTGCACACACGTCACTACACCACACCATATACATAGCAATTATTAGCGTGAGCGATTTTGTTTAATCAAATAACTTATCGAAACTACTTATTCAATACATGGATGATACGCGATACAAATAAATAAAGTAAATCATACATGAACGATTTTGTTTAATTGAAATTACTAATTCAATGTTTGAACGTCACGTGTTGCGAGCACTGACATGAAATTACACGTGAGTGATTTCATTTAATCAAAACTAGTTATTTGGTGGTTGAACAATAAGAGAGCCGTGATATGACACTACACCACATCACATACATGTAAAATATAAGAAATTATAAGTGTGAGCTATTTTGTTTAACCAAATAACTTATTGAAACTTATGCAAACAAATAGAGCCTAGAATAAATTACACATGAACGATTTTGTTTAACTGAAACTACTAATTCAGTGCATGAACGCCACGCGTTGCGAGCACTAACATGAAATTTTATCGAAACTAACTCATTTAGTGCATGAATGACACGCGCGGTAAGGATATAGAAAAGGAAAAAAGAAAGAAGCGAAAAAGCAAAAAGAAAAGAAAATTAAGAGGAAAAAACCTGAAAACTAAAATTTGCTCAGCAAAGCAAAACACACAGTTGAAAAACAGAGAAGGGAAGCCCTACACACTCTCTCTCCCTCTCTGTCTCACTCTCTCTCTCTCTCTCTCTCTCTCTGTCCCTTGTCTGTCTGTGTGTGTCTCTCTGCCTTTGATTCTATTTTTGCGCCAATCAAAGTCCCAGCAAGTCTCCAATTCCTTCTCTCTCCTCAAAATGCCAGCTTCTCCTTCATTCCCTTCAGGTAACTCAAACCTAAAACCCTCTCTCTTTCTCTCTCTAAAAATTCAAACTTTTACATTGCAATTAATTATATACACAGCAATTCACAATCCACAATTTTGATTTTTCACTTCAACAATGTTTGAATTTTCGCAGACTCCCGCGGCAAATGGAGGAAGCGAAAGCGCGACCCCCAAATTCGCAAAGGCAAACGCGACGACGACGACGACGACGACGACGACGCGGTTGCTGCCGCAGAAGACAACGACCTCGAACAGAACGATGACGTTTCAGAGGATCCCCACCATAACCCCCAATCCGGTGCCGCACCGGATCCCGGCCCTCACGAGACCGAGGTCCTCGACGGTGGGGTCCGCCAAAGCGACTTCCCTCCCGTCGTTTTGCGCACCGTGAACAGACCCCACTCGTCCGTTCTGGCAATTGTGGCGCTCGAGCAAGCCAATCACAGCGGCGGGGACGCCAAGGGCCCCACCAGCCCGATTGTCTTAGAGAATGTGTCGTATGGTCAGCTCCAGGCGTTGTCAGCTGTGCCCGCCGATAGTCCGGCGTTGGATCCGGACCGTGCAGATGGTGCCGGGTCGTCTTACGTGGTCACTCCGCCTTCGATTATGGAAGGCCGGGGCGTTGTTAAGCGGTTTGGGAACAGAGTTCATGTGGTTCCAATGCACGCAGGTATTCATATGTTAGTTAACTATTTGTTTGTGTCTAATTATTTTTGAGCTATAGAAAGTGGCAAAGAGTTGCTAAAGTCGAAGAGTTTCTGGGTTTTTATGTGATAATAAACTCTTTCTGAATTCTGGGTTGTTTTCAAAATTCAGTTACGCTTAGAACTCTACTACCTCTTGAGTGGAATTTTGGTATTTGATGTGTTGCATTAATTGTTGCCTACTCGTTTTTCACTATGAAACTGCTGCTGGGTTTATGCAATTAATTTTTTACAATCTGTAGGATCTTAATTTGAAGAAATGACTAATCGAGGGGTTCAATTATCGGAATTTTGTTTGCTGCAAATCTTCTATTAGAAAACAGTTGGAAAGTTTTGATCAGATTGCTATTTGATATTTAATAACTGTTTAGAAGGTTTCTTTATCTGAAAAAAAGCATTTGTGCACCGGTAGACTACTCTTTTATGTGGAATCATCATGGTAGGCAAATAATTTAACTGATCTGAGTCAACACTTGTCACTTGTTTGTGGTGCTGACCTGGACTCAAATTATAACAGTTATATGATCTGAAAAGGACATAAAGGGAGCTTTTTTTTTTTCTGATTTGTACCCGGACAAAAGATTTACTTTTGGGTTTAGAGGAAGCTAGTCTCTAAAAAGGATTTGGAACTTAGTCTGGAAATAGGCCTTGGATTCCTTGATATGAAGTCGGTATCATGTAGATTCTTTATTTTCCATCATCTGTAGGGCCTTAACAAGATAATTGATTCTATTTTTTTTTTTTTCTCAAATGCTTGGAAGGTGGATGTGTTAAAGCTACATGCTTATTATGCGTTTCTGTGTATATAGATGCGAATAAATATGGATTTCTGTTTTTGTGGAATTGTCCTGTTAGCAGATTGGTTTTCACCAGCCACAGTGCATCGACTAGAGAGACAAGTGGTGCCGCATTTTTTCTCAGGAAAATCGTCAGATCATACTCCTGAGATATACATGCAATGTAGGAATGAAATTGTTGCTAAATACATGGAAAATCCAGAGAAGAGACTTGCATTTTCTGATTGCAGTAGATTAGCATTAGCAGGCCGTCTAAGTTCTGATGATTTGACTCGAATAATTCGTTTTCTTGATCACTGGGGAATTATCAATTACTGTGCTGTAGCACCGAGTCGAGAGCCTTGGAGTGGCAGTTCCTACTTAAGGGAGGAGCTAAATGGTGAAATTCATGTGCCATCAGCTGCTCTAAAATCCATTGATAGTTTAATCAAATTTGACAAGCCCAGATGTAGGCTTAAGGCAGCTGATGTTTATTCGTCTTTGCCATGTCATGATGATGATGATGTCTCTGATTTGGACAACACAATTCGGAAACGTCTATCTGAAAATCATTGCAATCATTGTTCTTGTTCTCTTCCCGATGTATACTATCAGTCACAGAAGGAGGTACATCTCTATCATCTCAATAATATTATGTTTTTCCTGCCCATAATTTTATCAAATGGATAGTATTTTTCCTTCAAAGGATGAATGAAACTGCAGGAAGTTACCACACCAACATGTGACACAAAAATTTAACGCCCATAATTAAATGAACGAAAAGATAACTTGTAGATGGAGTTGTATTTGTATGTTTAAAAGATAACATGTTATCTTAGATGAGCTTGAATGGAGACAATGGATCCTTATAGCTGATCCCAATTAATTAGATTAATGCTTAGTATGGTTTGGCTGAATTCTTATTCATTATGCTAACTGATTGGTATCTTATTTTTCAGGTTGATGTACTTATGTGCTCTAATTGCTTCCATGAGGGAAGATTTGTGGTTGGTCATTCAAGCATAGATTTCATACGGGTGGATTCAACAAAAGATTATGGTGATACAGATGGGGAGAATTGGACTGATCAAGAAACCCTTCTGCTGCTTGAGGCAATGGAAACGTACAATGAGAACTGGAATGAAATTGCAGACCATGTTGGTACGAAGTCAAAAGCACAATGCATCCTTCATTTTCTTCGTTTGCCTGTGGAGGATGGCCTGCTGGAAAATATTGAAGTTCCAGGCGTGCCCATGTCTTCCAACTCGTCAGATAGAGATGGTCGTGGAGGATTTCATTCAAACTCAAATGGGGATACGGCAGGTGTTCTTATTTACTTATGGTTCTCATCCTTCAAGTTATCCTGATGTATATTAGACCTTATATGCCCACTTTTTTTTTTCTTTCTCAATTTCTTTTTAGGATCCTGCCCACAAGATGCTGATTCTGAAAGCAGGTTCCCATTTGCGAATTCTGGGAATCCAGTCATGTCCCTGGTAGGTGACTAATCTGATGCATCATGGTCCTTTATGTTCTTATAAGTCAGTTGAAACATGTGAACGTGTATTCTGAAAGGTACTGTCCCAAGTATGTAATAGAAAACAAGATTGCATAATTATTTATTTGTTTATTTTTTAACACCCCCAATATCAAAGAGAACTGAAGTATGATTTCCTGCGTGCTGCGACTTTTTCATCTGTTTGGAAAGTGGAAATACTTCAAACAGATATAGACTGACTATGCAATCAGGATAAATATTTTGATAGAGTGGCAATTATGGTAATAAACTGAGTGTATTTGATTCTAAGTTAGCAACTCAGATGATGAATGCATACATGCTTGTGGGAGTCTTGTAAGACTTTTCCTTTGTTCTTTTTTCATTCTTATTGTGTGGCTGGGGACTAGGACCATACATTATTTACAGTTATTCCGAGGTTTCAAAGAATTTACTTTATCATAATTCCTTTACATTCTTGAGAGAGTAGTACAGAGGAAAGGATATCTTATCCCTACAAACCGTGAAATAAAAACAAAAGAATATGAGATAAAACTTGACAGAGGTACCAGACTTAACATGTGTTCTTGAGTTATAAATGCACATTTAATGAAAGAGATAAAGGTTTTCCCAGACTTCACTTGTGTTCTTACACAGCTAACTTGTTGAAAATGTTTGTAGGTTGCATTTCTGGCCTCTTCTGTTGGGCCAAGAGTTGCTGCATCTTGTGCCCATGCAGCATTGACGGTATTTTCTGAGGATAATGGTGTATCTGCTTCTGGAAGTATTTTGCAGATGGAAGGATCAGGACATAGGTGATTTCTCTTTGTTGTAATGTTTTACAGTGGAATTCAACTTTAAAGCCCCCCATTTTATGTTTGTCATATCAAAATAATTCCCAGGTATTTTTTTTTTTGCTCATAGAGGGTTTTTTTTAGCTCTGTTTATTTACTAACTTTTTTAGTAAAAGAGGAGTTCGCTAGTACTGCTAATCTAGTGAAAGAGTTGGAAATCCCTAAAAAGCTTTTCATTCTAATTGTTGCATGTTCTTCATTGTTATTGCAAATTTTGTTCCATTCGCTTAAAATTTATTTTTCACCTATGAAGGATGAACCCTGAGAGCATACATGGTAGAGAAGGTGGTGCTCACGGAAATATTGCAAATTCACTTCAGCAGAAGGGTAGGCATGGAGTTTCCTGTGTTCTTTTTCATACTCTCTCTCTCTCTCTCTCTCTCTCTCTCTCTCTCTCTCACTTCCAGTTATTCATGGATTAAACTTCAGAAGAGAACACAGCAGGACATGGTTCTAGGGGTCAAAATGAGGCAGGGACAATTCCAATACCTGCAGAAAAAGTTATAGCTGCTGCCAAAGCTGGCCTTGCTGCTGCCGCAGTAAAGGCAAAATTATTTGCTGATCATGAAGAACGGGAAATTCAGAGACTATCTGCTAATATCATAAATCATCAGGTATAACTTCTGCTAAATTTAACTGTTTCCTTCTTATTTGTATACTTTTCTGAAACTTTTTTCTTGTTGCTAGTTGGAAAAAAAAGGCTTGAACCATTTTTTTTCTTCTTCTCATTATTAGTTGCTACCTGTTATTGTAAATAGGTGAGGATGGAGTTTTTTGTATCAGAAATTTTTTTTGAAAAAAGATGGGCGAAGATGGAGTTGAACCTCTTAAAAAGGCCTGAATCAGGATAAGGGACAAGGTCCTTTTTAGAACCTTGACTTTAGCTGCATACTTAAAAACCATATTTTGAGATCTGTCGTTATTTGAAAGATTTAGAGGACTATCGGCATGCTTGTATGGGTTGCAGTTGTCTTTGTCTGTTGTAAGTTGTATCAGTCGTAACACAAATCATTCCATTCTGATTAGCATTCAGTATATACTAAACAGTATCTTTGATATTTTTATTTCAACTGATCTAGTGTGTTTTGGTAGCCTTAACTGGTTATTGATGGACCAAAATGTATCCTTTTCATACAACTCCAGGATGGATCATCTCTGAGAGTAATTGGCCAAATGAGTACCGGCTTATATCCTCAGATCTTTTTTTTTTGTGATGAAAATATATCCTCAGATCTTTAGTATGGGGTAATTCATTGTGTCGTTGGTCTGAAACTTAACTTCAGACAAAAGAACAACTTATTTTATTTTAAGAGGGACTGTGTTCCCTGCTAATTTTTTTTTTTTTTTTAAAGTGTTGTTATATGGTTAGACAAGTTTATGGACTTTATTTTAACACACACATTCATATGCTCGTGATAACTGAATATTCTCAGAAAATCAAAAGCCTATCTGGAGATGGCATTGCCCCAACACCTGACTTGTTTCGACTAGTTTCTGACTCCCATAGTTTAACCTGTATCTTCGTAAGCAGGGTTTATTTGTTTTCCATTGGAAGTCATACTTAAATTGAATTGAATGAGTGTTCTTATTTCTAGTGTGAAATTTGTGACAGTTGAAGAGATTGGAGCTGAAGTTAAAGCAGTTTGCAGAAGTGGAAACTTTTCTAATGAAAGAATGCGAACAAGTGGAGAAGACTAGGCAGAGGATGGCTGGTGAACGTGCCCGTCTTATGTCAGCTCGGTTTGGACCCGCTGGAGTAGCTGCACCTATGGGTTTAGCAGGTCTTGGTCCTTCCATGTCCAATAATAACACTGGTACCGGTAGGCAACAAATAATGTCACCTTCAGCTTCACAGCCTAGTGTATCAGGATACAGCAACAACCAACCAATCCATCCCCACATGCCATTTGTGCCACGCCAATCAATGTTAGGGTTGGGTCCGAGGATGCCCTTGACATCCATACAGTCATCCTCATCAGCTCCAAATGCCATGTTTAATGCCGCAGGGACTGCCCAGCCGACTTTAAATCATCCAATGTTGAGGCCTGTACCAGGTACTAGCTCTGGTCTAGGTTGAAAGAAAACATGTAGATTTGGGGTTTATGGTTATTCCTTTTGGTCGTTGCTTTCTGCACTGCAACTGAAAGTAGTGGATAACATAGATGACATTCACGATCAATCTGCCTCACATTCTTTTTTAGTTTTTTTTTTTTCTATATAGAAGATACCTCCGGCAGATTGTAGGGCCTGTATGTTCATACATTTGATCATTAGAAATTAATTCAGCCAAAAAATAATTGTGTTTCTGAAAGTGATGTTGGTGCAGATAACTTTTCTTTTTTAACTTTTGGAAAATGTTTCCCTTCTCATTCCCCCCCCCCAAAAAAAAACTCACTTTGCACTTGTGTCTGGTAATACATGGTTGAATGATTTATAAGTCTAACTTGTTTTGTTTGGTTTACTGACTGCAAAATGTTGGTCATAAGAAAAGTATAACAAGCTTTTTATTCTACATTGATCTCTCTTTAGGAAGAATAATCATTTAGTGCTTCAATATTCTTTCACTTATGATGCCTCCGGCAGTTTGTAGGGCCTGTTTTAATTCAGCCAAAAATGAATTGTCTTCTGGAACTCTGCTTCAATCTTCTGGTTCGAAAGAGAGTAACTTTTGTTGGGAAAATTATGTAGAATTTCGTTTATATATGCATCTAGAAATTAATGTCGTTAAAAAAAAAAAGCTATATCTTGTTGACAATACCAAACATCTGCTGAGTATCACTATAACGTCTCGAATGTGCAATGTGCTAGGTACTGTAGATTGGTAACCGATAACTAATCGATGAGCCCCTTTACTAGGGAAAACATTATAATCCAAAATTTCAAATGAACAATTTAATTTGCAACCGTAGACTGATGGGTAACTTTCTTTATATATAATACACTAAATGATTATTCTTCGTTACATAGATAATTATTACCCAATAGAAAAAAAAAGAACGCAAACAACATACATGTTACATTGATGCCAAGGTCAACCAAGAACAAAAAGTCCCTACTTCTCCAGTTGCAAGAAAACCCTGAAGCATATATATATGTATATAATTATAAATGTGCCCAATTAAGGGCATTGGATCTCAAATAACCCTCTATTGGGGTAGAGGTATATCAGCCAGGTCCTCTCTGAAGGGCACTGGGGGCCCACTAGAATAGGGGAGCCCACTTTCCATTTGGTTTTGGGCTGCTGGGTCATTCTTTGAGGGCTCAATAAATGTCACCACACTGTCTTTTCTCAAAGTTAAGTAGATGACTGCAAGGATGTAAATGGCCATCAGGGGAAACACTATGATCCCAATGAACACATTTGCAACTTTTGGTAGGCTGCTGTGGGTCAACCACCCCACAAACCCTGTGCTCAGGTAATAGATGTTGATGCCTATGATTCCCATGCCTAGAATCCATGATACCACAATGATCTGCATGCACAAATCACAATTTCAAATAACAGTATCTGTTAGTTTAATATACATACGCTCGTGAGATTTGAACTCGTGACCTCTTCTGATAAAGAGGCGACTGATTAACTAATTAAGATTAAGACCACACTCACATAGATTGAATTCTTGTGGGGTCCCATCTTGGTGGTGCTACTGCTGAATTTGAGTAGTGGGATTAGAGCAAATGGGAGTTCAAATGAGAGTATCATCTGCAAAATACATTAAAAGTTATATTTCAGTAGTATTTAAATTTATTTATTTAAATTAAAAAAAACCTAATAGTTTTATATAAAAACAGTCAACGAACCGATGCAATGATAATGAGTCTGCCTGCTCCTGAAGGGCCGCCGATAATGGAAACAATGAGACTGGGGGTAATTGCTATACACCTGGTCATTAGGTTTCTAGCCCATTTTTTCATCTTAATGTCCAAGAAACCCTGTAAATCAGCATTAATTTTATGTCATTTTTCAAACAAATTTAAAGTAATTTTCAAAAGTGCTTTTAAGTTCACATAATTAGTAGAACTTAAAACTAACCTGCATGACAAATTGTCCTGCGTATGTGCCTGTAATTGTGGAGCTTTGGCCTGAGGCTAATAGTGCAATTGCATAAATGACTTTGCTTGACCGTCCCAGCACATTCTGCATATATAAAAGAGATTAGTTATCTGGTTTTATATTCGGAAATACTCCATTGTCAGACATTTTTTTAGCATTTTATGTTTTTGGAAGTGCTAAAAACGCTTTATGACAATTAGAAGTGTTTATATAAGCTTTTGGTTGAAAAACTCAAAAATATTTCGGAGTCATAAAAACCCTTTCTGAAAAAACACTGCCCAGCATTTTTATCACAAAGTACGTGGACTTTTAGTAAAAATTTCAACATACTTTTGAATTTTAATAAAAGTACTTTTATAATAACAAATGGGTCATGATTCGAGTAACATAACGTGTCAGATATATATCAGTAAAAAAATGTTACCATGTATATAAGATTGGTTTTATTTTATTTATAAATATTATAGTAAAATGAAGGTTGAGTGGTGAGTTTTACCTGGAGAAGGAAAGAGGCAGAATTGAGAGTAAGATCACTACAAGTTTTGGTGTCCTTATCAGAGAGGTTGGTGTCATGGCAAACGGTGCCGGATACAGAGATGATGGCAACATTAATTAAAAATGCTACAAATAATGCAAATCCACTCTCTATCAAGAAATATCGGCACGCATCCTGCAACAACATAACATTGAATTAGTGTTAATTAAACAAACAGTTTACCAAATTAGCAAGCTTCACTTTATTTGTGGTTTTTTATTTTTTTACCTAGCTCTTCACAACTACAAGGCCAATGGTCAATAAATATTCTTATATTATAATAATTATGTGGGCCTTTTTTTTCAATTATTTTAAAATTTATAGTCTAGCATAGTTTTGAAAAACTGATAGTAGGTTTTATTTTTTAATAATCTTCGTTTGTGATTTTACTTTTGGAAAGTGGATGCATTCATGTCACTTATAATTGGTGTTACCTAAAAAAAAGGACTAGCTAGTGGCGAACCACGGCAATCCACCCTCTTTGGGTGACGGGAAGACTCACACACGCGTTTCAGCGCCCTTGGCCACAATCAGAAAAATCAAACTAATATTTGTTTTATATATATGCATTGACATATTGATAAGTGCTCTAGACAAAGTCATATATAAACAATGCAACAATGAGTAAATAGTTCTATTTTTTTTCAAAGTTATATGCATTAATTATTTATGGCTAGTACTAATGCAATTGAAAATGAAAGCTAATTAACAAATGGGGCTTACGTTGATGCCATGGACAGATTTTGGAATTTTCCTAGAAAGCACAAGAGCTGAGTGGAGAAAAAGGTTGTGCCTGTCAAAAATAATCAAAGTGTGAGACTAATTACAAGATCACTATCAACATTATTACAAGATCAAACATACGAGAAATGTTCTCTTATTAGATTGTATGTTAAAATACTTAAGTTGTAGTCTAACGACATAAGTATTTGTCTAACAAAAAATCATAGAAACGTACGGCATGACAAGGGCACCCAAGAGAGCAATGGCGTCTCCGGTGGCTCCTTGGCCATTGAGCTTTGGGACAAACATGCCCTTGACCACACCAGATGCTGGAGGCTTCACATAACCCATTTCACCAAAGAAACAGGCAGCCATGACAAACACCAACACTGCTATCAACAATTCCAGCTTCCTAACCTGCCAATGCATATAATATAATGTCACCAAAATATTAAATTAATTTCTTAAACTTGGATTAATTTGCAGCATGAGACTAATTAAAATTAGGGAAATTTACTATTATACTCAATATAAGGGCCCAAATTATAAAAATACTATATATGAAATGAACTTTAGAAACACACCCAAAGCCCATTTACAACATACACAAAGAGGCTTATAAACTACAAAACTATCATTAATTTCTTAAAACAAGTCCAACCTCAAAACCTCATAAACAAACCCAAAATAATCAATAGGGTATCAAAGTAATTTAATAATCAAAATTAAATTCAATAGGGCCAGTTATCATTTTTTGGATTTGTTTATAGAAATTAAATAATGTAGAATTTATCTATATTATTAGTGCTAAAAATGGGTATATGACTAAATATCTCTTAAAAGTACCCCGTATCTCTGCAGGCCTAGAAGAAGGAGAGTGCTGGAACCAGTGAGGAGAACTCCGGTCCAAACCGGAATGTTGAACAGTATATTTAGTGCAAAGGCTGTGCCAATCACTACATGCCAAAATTACGAATCAATGTTAGAAAATTTAATTTTTTTAAAATTATAAAAATTAAAGACAGAAAAACATAAATTATAAATTAGATTTTTTCAGTTGAGTTAATATATTTTACCTTCGGGTATATCAGCAGCTATGACGGCAACTTCTGCTAGCAACCACAGACAATACTTCACAAACTCTGGGTATTCCGCCTTGCATAATTCTGATAAATGTTTTCCTGAAAATTCAAGATTAAATTAATTAATTAATTACTATTATTTAAATTGTAAGAAGACAACATAATCTTCTGTTTATTTTCTCTCATACTTTCTATCTTATTTCTATTCTCCCTCTCATTTTAATTATAAACGACGTTGAAGAATATAAAGTCCAACATCGGAAACTTGATAATAAGTGGTTTCACTTCTAATAACACTGAGATTTTTTGTGATAGAATCCATATATATATATATATTTGCTATTATTGAGCTAAGAAATATTTTTGTCCAATTTCGTACCGGTGGTCACGCCAAGGTTTGCTGCAAGCGATTGGATTATGAGAGCGAAGATCAATCCAATAAGAATCACCCAAAGTAGCTGAAATTAGCAAAAATTATGATAAGACCAATGCTTGACCTTTTGTCTTTTGCATGCTAAATAATGCAAACAACTCTTCAGGATTTTTCTTTTTATATTTTCTTTTAATGTTTTCTTTTAATTGTCTTTTGTCCTTTGTGGCTTTTATTTTACCTCATATCTGTGATTGGCTCCAGCTTGCAGATCAGTTTCCACTGTGAGATTATGATGTCATAAACAAAAGTTTTGTCAATAACAGGAAAAAAACATATACACTTATACATATTAGCGGTAGAGAGAGCTATTTATATACACACGGTAATGTTCTCTTGCCAGACTTATGTTATCAAACTATGAATTTAAACTGGGCATTCAGGTAAGAATTTAACCGGCTTAATAGTTTGAATTCGCAGTCTGATATGTGTTGCCACGGAAAAGAACATTGTTCGTGCATATACAATGTAATGTTATATGTATGTA